TAGAGACGGGGTTTCACCATGTTGACCAGGATGGTCTCGATCTCTTGACCTCGTGATCCACCCGCCTCGGCCTCCCACAGTGCTGGGATTACAGGCTTGAGCCACCGCGCCCGGCAATTTTTTTAATTTTTTTGAGACGGAGTTTCACTCATGTTACCCAGGCTGGAGTGCAATGGCGCGATCTCGGCTCACCGCAACCTCCGCCTCCTGAGTTTGGGCAATTCTCCTGCCTCAGCCTCCTGAGTAGCTGGGATTACAGGCACGCGCCACCATGCCCAGCTAACTTTTTGTAGTTTTAGTAGAGACGGGGTTTCACCATGTTGACCAGGATGGTCTTGATCTCTTGACCTCGTGATCCACCCGCTTCGGCCTCCCAAAGTGCTGGGATTACAGGCTTGAGCCACCGCGCCCGGCCCACTTTTGTTATTTTTTTACTAGAGACAGAGTTTTACCTTGTTGGCCAAGATGGTCTTGAACTCTTAACCTCAAGTGATCTCCCTAACTCAGCCTCTCAGAGTGTTGGGATTACAGGCACACTTTAACCATTTTTATGTTCAATTTAATTTTTTAACTTTTATTTTTTAAAATTTTATCGATTTATTTATTTTTGAGACAGAGTCTTACTCTGTTGCTCAGGCTGCAGTGCAGTGGCACAACCTTGGCTCACTGCAACCTCCATCTCTTGGTTCAAGTGATTCTTCTGCCTTAGCCTCCCGAGTAGCTGGGACTACAGGTGCCTGCCACCATGCCTGTATAATTTTTGTATTTTTAGTAGAGACAGGGTTTCACGATGCTGGCCAGGCTGGTCTTGAACTCCTGACCTCAGGTGAGCCACCTGCTCACCTGAAATTATAGGCTGGGATTATAGGCACACTTTATTTTTATGTTTAATTTTATTTTTTAAAATTTTTGTTTATTTTTGAGACACAGTCGCACTCTGTCAACCAGGCTGGAGTTCAGTGGTGCGGTCACAGCTCACTCCAGCCTCCACCTCTTGGACTCAAGCAATCCTCCCACCTCAGCCTCCCGTATAGCTGGGACCACAGACATGCTCCATCATGTCTGGCCAATTTTTAATTTTTTTTTTTTTGTAGAGATGGGGTCTCACTTTGTTGCCCAGGCTGGTCTCAAATTCCTGGGCTCAAGCAGTCCTCTTGCCTTGGCTTCCCAAAGTGCTGAGATTACAGGTGTGAGACACTGCACCTGACCTATTTATTTTTTATTTATTTGTATTTTTAATTTTTGTAGAAATGGGATCTACCTATGTTGCCCAGGCTGGTCTCAAACTTTTTTTGTTGTTTCTATCATCTCAGCTACTAGAAATCAAACTTTTGGCCTCAAGTGATCCTCCTGCCTCAGCCTCCCAAACTGCTGAGATTATATGTGTGAACCACTGTGCTCAGCCCTTTATGTAGAATTTAACCTCAAGGAGGTAAGACCTGTGATTGTCTCTGTATTACAGTAACACAGAGCTAAACAATTGGTCATCTTTGCTGAGTGTCTAAGGCACTGTTCTAAGTGCTATACACAAATGACCTTTTTTTTGAGACAGAGTCTCATTCTGTTGCCCAGGCCGGAGTACAGTGGTGCAATTTTGGCTCACTGCAACCTCTGCCTCCTGGGTTCAAGCAATTCTCCCACCTCAGTCTCCCAAGTAGCTGTGACGACAGGTGTGCACCACCATGCCTGGCTAATTTTTTAATTTTTTTTTTTTAGCAGAGGTGGAGTTTCACCATGTTGCCCAGGCTGGTCTCAAACTCCTGACCTCACATGATTCTCACCCACCCCCCCGCCCCTGCCAGCCTCCCACAGTGCTGGGATTATAGGCATGAGCCACTGCACCTGGTCCTCATTAGCTCCTTATGATGACCCTATGAGGAATCATAGCTGAAGATATTGAGCTTGCAGCCTTAAAAAAGGAACGAGATCATGTCCTTTGCAGGGACATGGATGGAGCTGGAAGCCGTTATCCTCAGGAAACTAACACAGGAACAGAAAACCAAACACCACGTTCTCACTATAATTGGGAGCTAAGGCCGGGCACAGTGGCTCATGCCTGTAACCCCAGCACTTTGGGATGCCAAAGCGGGCCAATTATGAGGTCAGGAGTTGAAGACCAGCCTGATCAACATGGTGAAACCCTGTCTCTACTAAAAATACAAAATTTAGCCGGTCGTGGTGGCGGGCACCTGTAATCCCAGTTACTCAGGAGGCAGGAGAATCACTTCATCCTGGGAGGCAGAAGTTGCAGTGAGCCGAGTTCATGCCATTGCACTCCAGCCTGGGTGGCAGAGCAAGACCCTGTCTCAAAAATAAATAATAAGTGGGAGCTAAATGATGAGAAAACATGGACACTTCGTCGGGAATAACAGACACTAGGGCCTGTCAGAAGGGGGAGGTGGGGGAGGGAGAGCACCAGGAAGAGCAGCTAATGGATCCTGGGCTTAATACCTAGGTGATGGGCTGATCTGTGTGGCAAACCACCATGCACACGTTTCCCTATGTAACAAACTTGCACCTCTTGCACATACACCCCAGGACCTATAATGTTGAAGAAAACAGCTGGGCGTGGTGGCTCACATCTATAATCTCGGCACTTTGGGAGGCTGAGGCGGGTAGATCACTTGAGGTCAGGAGTTTGAGACTAGCCTGGCCAACTTTTAGTAGAGATGGCAAAACCCCATCTCTACTAAAAACACACAAATTAGCTGGGTGTGGTGGCAGATGCCTCTAATCCCAGCTTCTTGGGAGGTTGAGACAGGAGAATCACTTGAGCCCGGGAGGCAGAGGTTGCAGTGAGCCAAGATCGCACCATTGCACTCCACCCTGGGCGACAGAGTGAGACTCTGTCTCAAAAAAAAAGGAAAAAAAATTGAAGAGAAAAAGATACTGGTGAGGCCCGGGAAAGTTAAGTGCATGTCCCAGGCCACACAGATGTTCCAGTTCCAGTCCTTGCTCATTTAAACAGAGTCAGAGAGGTACAGTGATATGCCCAAAGTCACACAGCTGTGTGAGAACTGATGTGCCCGGACCCCATCCTTTGCCCTCCTTCAGAACTCCTGCCTTCATCCCCTCGCTGTCACCCTCCCACCCTGGGAGGAAGGGAAGCCTGGGTGGAATGGCTGGTGGCTCCTGCAGCCCCCATGCACTGGCCAGGCATGACGGGGTACAGACTTGAGGGCTAATGTCTGTGCCCCAAGGCCCGTGGGTGGGATGGTTTGATGGTCAGCTGTGGGGCTTCTGGCATCTCAGTGGTGCCGACAGCTGGAGGGGTGGGGGCACCAAAGCGAACTCACCGTCTGCAGCACAGCAAACTTCACCTTCCCAAAATTGTCTTCCTCTACCCAGGGCTCCCGCACGATTTTGGCGCCCCGTTCCCGTGCTTTCTGCAGAGAAGTTGGGATCGGGGAGGTGAGGGTGGGAATATTCCAGAACCCTTGCCTGCTGCTCCTGCCGGGTGGCTCCTGTGTGGTCCTGCAGTCCCCTCCAGTTTCTCCAGCCCCAGGTAGGAATTCCCACCCCAGGTTCCCAGGTGGCAACCCCAGCCAGCTTCAGCCATTACCCTCAGTACTCATCCTCATTTGGCAAGTAGGGAAACTGAGGCTGAGGCCCAGAATTGGGGCTATGGGAGAGAAACAAGGTAGGGATGGGTGTCTGTCCTGCCTCTGCTAACTCCCCCTGTGACCTTTCCCCCTCTCTAGTCCTCAGTTTCCCCATCTGTAGAAAGAATTGTTGGATAAGTATAATAATAAGGAGATTCCTGCATTTATTTAGCAAAACTGAACTGCATGCGGTGCTTATATCATGCTCCAGGCTCTGTTCTAGATTCCAGCCTCATTCATCCTCACGACAACATTATGAAGAAGATACTACTGTCATCTCCGTTCTCTAGGTAAGGATGTTGAAGCACAGAGACATTAAGTCACTTGCCTGAAGTCACACAGCTGAGATTCAGTCCTGGAGGGTCTGGCTCTGGAACCCACACTCTGAATCTCTAGGTGGCCTCTTGGGTACAGTGTTTGGTTTAGAGTTGTGCTCAAGAAACGGTAATTCTGAGGCTGGCTGAAGTGGATCATGCCAACACTTTGGGAGGCCGAGGCAGGCCAATCACTTGAGGTCAGGAGTTCGAGACCAGCCTGGCCAACATGGCGAAGCCATGTCTTTACTAAAAATACAAAAATTAGCTGGGGTGCAGCAGGCACCTGTAATCCCAGCTACTTGAGAGGCTGAAGACAGGTGAATTGTTTGAACCCAGGTGGCGGAGGTTGCAGTGGGCTGAGATCGTGCCATTGCACTCCAGCCTGGACAAGAGAGTGAGACTTTGTCTTGAAAAAAAAAAAAAAAAAAAAAAAAAAGGAAATGGTAATTCTGATCTAATTTCTCTTTTGACAACCCAGCTGTGGTTAACCTCATCTGGCAGCTGTGGAAACTGAGGCTCAGAGAGAAAGAGGACAACACGGAAGAGGACAGGGCACCCCCGGTGGCCAGATGTGCATCACACCAGCATCTGGGCTTGTCACTGTGATGCGGCAGTGTCCCTCCAGTTGTGACTGATGGGGTCCCCATGGCAGACGGAGGCCTTCCTCTCCCCAATCTGCCCAGGTGTGTTCTCACCTGCACGATGTAGTCACAATCCTCCACCTCGAATGCGATGTCCTTTACTCCATCGCCGTGTTTCACCAGGTGATCTCCCATCTCTGTGGTCGGCAAGGAGGGGATGGCACTGGAGTCTAGGTCCCCTTACCTGGCTTTCAGTCTCCATCCAGGCCCTGAACCAGAGCCCACCCACAGAGCCATGCGTCCACCCCTCCCCAAACCCAGACTCCTCCCCCAGAGCCATGCGTCCACTCCTCCCCGGGCCCCTTACCTTTGTTCCAGGGGTTGAGCGCTGAGGAGAGGACAAACACAATCTAAGATACAGAGGAGAAACTGGTGTGGCTGCTGGCTGGGAGGAGCGTGGGGAGGTGCGCCCATCCCCTCCTCCCTGAGACACCCCGGGTGGAGCAGAAGGACTCCTGGACCTGGGTTCTAGCTCCTTCTCTGCCTTAGTTTCCCACTCTGGTCCTGAGGAATGGGGCTTTCAGCCATGCCAGACCAGCCCCCGACCCCGGATCCTAAGAGGAACTGCTGGGTCAGGTCTCCCTTGGGGAGAGAACTTCAAGGACCCCAGAGGTCAGGGCACTGCTTAAAATTTCTCCTTTGACGTCCTAGGTTTTCTGAGCACCTGTGGGGTCAGTGTTGGGCCAGGCTGAGGAGGAGGCGAAACTAGGACGGATGCTGGTGTGTGGCTATGCAAAGGTACCAGTGGAGGGGCCGTGGGAGCTGGACTGTGTGTTTTTTGTTATTGTGTGGTTTTTTTTTTTTTGAGGTGGAGTCTCACTCAGTTGCCCAGGCTGGAGTACAGACAGTGGACTGATCTTGGCTCGCTGCAACCTCTGCCTTCCAGGTTCAAGTGATTATCCTGCCTCAGCCTCCTAAGTAGCTGGGATTATAGGTGCCCATTACTACACTTGGCTAATTTTTGTATTTTTAGTAGAGATGGGGTTTCTCCATGTTGGTCAGGCTGGTCTCGAACTCCCAATCTCAGGTGATCCACCCGCCTCAGCCTCCCAAAGTGCTGGGATTACAGGCGTGAGCCACTGTGCCCGGCCTTGTTTTGTTTTTTTTGTTTTTTTTTTGTCATAGGGTCTCGCTCAATTGTCCAGGCTGGAGTGTGGTAGATCGCTGTGGTGTAATCACGACTCACCACAACCTCAACCTCCCGGACTTAGGTGATCCCCCCACCTCAGCCTCCCAAGTAGCTGGGACTACAGATGCACGCTACCACATCTGACTACTTTTTTTGAATTTCTTGTAGAGACGAGTCTTGCCATGTTGTCTAGGCTGGTCTCAAACTCTTGGGCTCAAGTGATCGCCTGCCTTTGCCTCCCAAAGTGCTAGGATTACAGGCATGAGCCATTGCACCTGACCAGGCTGAACTATGTGGACGTAGCCAAGCTCTGCCTCCTGAAGTGGGGGTGTGACTGCCTGAAGAAGGGGCCTCGTGCTCTAATCACACTGAGGTGCTGTAAGGGCTACAGTCTCAGGGGGTGAAGGGACCCGGCCTCCTGGATGGCAGGGGCGTGTGTGTCCTAGGGTGGGGACTCACCTTCCCTTGTTTGATGACATGGCTGACTACCTCCCGGGAGCCGGTCTCTAGGCCCCTGTAGGCTAGAGGTTCGAAGCCCATCTTGTTGCAGTAGAATGACGCGGCCTGAATCACAGGGTTGCAGCAGGGTTCATGAGGGTTGAGGGGCCAGCCTGGGGGACGCCCAGAAGAAAGCCCCCAGCCCCCCTCAGCCTGCCTGCCCTATTGCCCCACGTGCAGAGACCCTCCTGGGAAGAGGGCCTGCTGCCTGCACATTTTGCTGACAGATAACTTTCCCAATGGTATAATTAGGATTCAGAGTATCTGGTCCCACCCCTGGCCCTGATCCTCCCCTCCCAAGGGCCAATCACAGACCCGCTGGAGGCCCGCCCCTGTTCAGGTGGCCTCTGGCCGGCCCTCTGCTTACTCCAACATGCTACCCCAGCTTCTACCTGCTTGGCGTTGCCAACCCAGAAGGTCACAGAGTGGAAGTGCAGGAATCGGCCTCTCTCAGGCTGCAGAAGGAGAGAAGAGGTGAGGTTGAGTCCCTGAAAGGGAGTCTAGAAAAGTGCGGGTGGAGTGATGTCCCCTAGCCACGCCACCTGCCTTATCCCAGCCTCAACCACAGGATTTAGGAGCAGCAGAACCCCATGCAGTCTTGCCAAGCCTCGAAAGAGATTTCTCATGTGGAAGCTGAGCTCCTGGGAGTTTTGGATGGTGAAGCCCCCTCAGGAGGCCTGCCAAGGTTTCACACAGGGACATAGCCTTTTGCTGCAGCAATATGGATTTAAGTTAGTCCTTAGAAAGAACTTCCAGATGGCATTAAGAGATTGGCAGGCATTTAAGTAGGGGTACAAATTTTGTTTTTGTTTTTTGAGATGGAGTCTTGCTCTGTCACCCAAACTAGAGTGCAGTGGCGTGATCTCGGTTCACTGCAACCTCTGCCTTCTGGGTTCAAGCATTCCTCGGCTTCAGGTGATCCTCCTGCCTCAGCCTCTGCCTCCCGAGGAGTTGGGATTACAGGTGTGTGCTACCACACCCGGCTAATTTTTGTATTTTTAGTAGAGACGGGGTTTCCTCATGTTGGCCCGGCTGGTCTCGAACTCCTGACCTCAAGTATTCACCTGCCTTGGCCTCCCAAAGCACTGGGATTACAGACATGAGACACTGTACCTGGCCAGGGTACAAGTTTGTTAGGAGGGTGAGATTGAGTCTAGCTCATTCTGGGGGAGCCCGTGGGTAAAATGGGGTGTGTAGGTATGGACATCACATATCCACCCCAGTCCTTCCTCTTCTGCTCTCTGCTGAAACCCCAGTCTCCCTGCACTCTGACCCCTTCTAGACCCAGGCCCCGACATTTCCCACATTTCCCCTGCTTACCTTTGCCCCTTTGTCACTGTAAGTCGTCTAAGGAGAAAGAGAAGGACAGTGAGACTTGGAGGCTCCAACACAGGTGCTTCTGGAAGTGTCACTGAAGATGTCCCACCCAAGGGGAGATGGCCAGCCTTACCACTTACCATGACTGATCTTGGTCAAACCTGCTGCTGGGAAGATTGGGACAAGAGGCCTGGCGGGTGCTGGGCTGGAGTATTTAACCCCAAGCAGGCCCCGCCCCGGCCTCCTGGCCTACCTGGGGGATTGGGGGGGCAGCTGAGCCCAGCCCAGGAAAGTCCCGGGCCTGGGGGCCTCTGATCCAGCCGCAGCCTCATTGAACAGGGTGTTGTCGCCAGGCCCAGAGTTGGAGAGTGATGTCCACTAGCTAGCAGGAGGCAGAGCCAGGGCCAGAAACCAAGGGCAAGCTTTTCCAGGACGCTGGGGCTGTGACCATTACTGCCCAGAATCCAAAGCTCAGAAGCCAAAGGCCAGCTGGAGTACAGTGGCGGCTCCAGAACTCTTGCCTGGAGGAAATTTGAGGGGGAATTTGGAGACTGGCCCTGAAGTCCTGTTTGCATAGCAAGTGTGTGGTTTCTATTCAGGATGAAAGCCTTGTATTGTTTTTTTTCTTTTTTTTGTGAGATGGAGTCTCTCTCTGCCTCCCAGGCTGAAGTGCAATGGCGCAGTCTCAGCTCACTGCAATCTCCGTCTCCCAGGCTCAAGCAATTCTCCTGCCTCAGCTTCCTGAGTAGCTGGGATTACAGGCGCATGCCACCACGCCGGCTAATTTTTGTATTTTTAGTAGGGATGCGGTTTCACCAAGTTGGCCAGGCTGGTCTCAAACTCCTGACCTTGTGATCCACCCGCCTTGGCCTCCCAAAGTGCTGGGATTACAGATATAAGCCAAAAGCTGTGTATTCTATAGCTGTTAGAGGCATGGAAGGAGAAGGTTTGCATCCTGGCTTTGCTACATACTGTATGACTTGGGAGAGTCACCATATCCCTCCAAGCCTCATTAGTGAAACAGGAGCAAGGACAGTGTGGTGGGGACTAAAGGAGAGAAGCATGCTCTTTGGAATAGGACCTGATACACAGAACACTCTCTCTCCGCATTGCTTATAATTCATCGGGACAGTTAACATTCCTAGGCCATGAGCTTAGCAAGTAGCAGGGAAGAACTGGAACATGAACCAGACTCAGAACTCCAGGACCCACACTTTAAATTGCTAGATTACCTTCTATACAAACGGGAGATATGGCTGTCCTCACCAGATGGGGAAACTGAGGCCTGGAGAGGCGAGCACCTGACTGCCAGGCCATGGAACTGGTAAGAGCAGAGCCCCCGACCCTGGCCTGTTTGATTCTGGGGTTGGATCTCATTGCACCAGTGCAGACCACTTCTCCCTCCTTTTCTCTATTTTCTGGGCCATTCAGGAGGCAGGTGAGGTGGTCCCACCTTCTTCTTCTGCCCCTCCTGGGTCTCCCCAGTGTGCCCCCAGTGTCCACCTCAGTTCCTAGAGTCTAAATTTCCAACTGGAGGCCGGGCGTGGTGGCTCACGCCTGTAATCCTTGCACTTTGGGAGGCTGAGGTGGGTGGATCACTTGAGGCTAGGAGTTCGAGACCAGTCTGGGCAACATGGTGAAAACCTGTCTCTACTAAAAATACAAAAATTAGCCACAAGTGGTGGTGCATGTTTGTAGTCCCAGCAACTCAGGAGGCTGAGGGAGGAGAATCACTTGAACCAGGAGGCAGAGATTGCAGTGAGTAAGGATCACACCACTGCCCTCCAACCTGGATGATAGAGTGAGAGTCTGTCTCAAAATAAATAAATAAAATAAATAAATAAATTTCCACCTGGGAAAACTTGAGTGGAGGTGGCCCAGGGTGGAGGTCACAGGCCCAGAAGGTTCTCCTTGAGGAGAGCTCAGTGTAGCCTGCCCACCCCCTCCAGGCCAGCAGGAACATCTTGTCCCCTTGATTGTTGTCACCAAATCAAACCCCCACCCCTGGAGCCTGGCTTATATCCTAAGCACAAAGGCCAATGTTTACTGACTCAAGGAAGCATGTTGTCAACAGCAGTGGAGTGCAAAGGCTGGCAGGCATCTGGCTCAGCTGGACAGAGGCAGGAACTCTGTCCCCAACACTGTGGGTCTCAGTCCCATGCTGGGTGCACCCCTCCTTGCCATTCCCATGTGTGGGCAGAGAGCAGGGAGGGGAGCCTGCAGGGCCCAGTATCTGGAGTCCCCTCCCTGATGCTCCCCGTTCAGGCTGGGCCCCATTGGATAGCAGATCAGCAGTGGCTGGGTGTGACTGTCTGTGTTTTTTGTACCAAACCATGCAGAGGTGGGTTCCAGAGGCCTTGCTCAAGGAGCTCAGTGATCAGATGGGTTCATGGGACTCATCCCTGACCTCTCTGATGTGCAGAAAAGCATTCACCTAGCTGCACCTGTAGTCCCAGCCACTCAGGAGGCTGAGGTGGGAGGATCACTTGAGTCCAGGAGTTCAAGGCTACAGTGAGCTGTGATCACACCACTGCACTCCAGCATGGACAGCATCAAAAAGAGAACTTGTGCCGGGCGCGGTGGCTCAAGCCTGTAATCCCAGCACTTTGGGAGGCGGAGGCGGGTGGATCACGAGATCAAGAGATCGAGACCATCCTGGTCAACATGGTGAAACCC